TGAGGTATGGATATATTCAGGAATACTGAATAGAAATAGCCTGGGGAAGATGTGATAACAGACAAATATGTCTATGGAGAGTTCTTCTTAGGAGCAAAGATTATAATCATGGAACCTGTTATCAGGTGAAACCTATTCACTAGACAGACATCATGTTCAGTCAAGTCGAGGGTCAGCAAGAAATCTTCAATGAGATATATTGACCCAGGAATTGTATTAGTGAAAGCAAATATAATACCAATCACCAGGATCACTTTTCTCTTTTGTTGAACATGAAGTCACAGTAAATTGGAACTGATCACTTAAGAATAGTAGCAGTTTTTTGTTTGTTTTCTTGTTTTTGATTTTTTTTTTTATTAATATTGCTCAAATGTGATAATGGTTACCCATGGTAGACAATGTTTGGTGGAGCTCCCTGATTAAAACAAGCTTGGAAGCAAGACTGGCATAAACTTCAGGAATAGCTTCTGTCCAGACACCCTGTGAACTTGGAGAAATGATGAAAGTTATCCTCTTCCATATTAGTTTGCCTCCAGAAACCCTATGAATCTGGAGAAAGGATGAAAGAAGGCACAAGTGTTGATGACTTTTGTTCATAGGATTGCTATGAGTTGCCTATGACTTGACGGCACTTAACAACAACATACAAGTGTTCAGGTATTTCGTTCAAAGTGTGGTAATGAGTTATCTAAGACTCGATAACACTTAACAACAACATCTTTTTTTTAAGTAATTCACATAGGTCTGGTTTTGCCCTATTTTTTTTTATTTCATTTTTTAATCTGTGTCAAATCAGATCTGACTAGTACAGGAGGAGATTGTCCCTCCTTCTCCAGCAGAGCATCTGGTGGATTTGAACCACACACCTGTGGGATTTCAGTGCAGCTTCTTGCCACTAGGCCACCAGAGCTCTGGTTTTTGCACTCTTTGTGAATAATGATACATCTCTCAATTTTAAAGAGTTGCTTTGACCTTTCAACAACCTGCATTATGCAGATGACACAACCTTGCTCGCTGAAATTGAGGAGGACCTAATGCACTTGCTATGGAGAGTCAAGGACTGCAGCCTTCAGTATGGACTGAGGCTCAATGTCAAGAAGACAAAGATTCTCACCACTGGACCAATGGGTAGCATCAGGATGGATGGCGAAGAGATTGAGATTGTTCACAGCTTCAGTTTGCTCGGCTCCA